TCTATGCATAGTAGGTGTTTAATAAGGAATGCTTCTGGATTAAATTGGGTTGTAAGGTGGATCCCACTATAGCTACATTGAAATTCCGATTTAGTGCTAATGAATTAGGAGGAGTCAAGATGGCGGAGGAGTAGCAGACTGAGATGACATCAGGTCGCAGGAGTTCAGCCAGATAGTTATCAAACCATTCTGAACACCTACAAACTCAACAGGAGGTCAAAGAGAAGAGCAGCAATTCTAGAAACAGTACTAATGTTTGGAGACCTATGAGTTTCAAAAGATCATAATCTATGACGTAAAAATTAGATGGGTGACATAATTGGGACATAATTGGACATAATTTTCTTTTGGATGATCAAGTTGCCTGATTTTGTTTTTTTTAATTTGTCCCAAGTGTTTTCCTTAAAAACAGCAGCATTCCCACAGAGTCCTTGTATGATATGTACCAGGTGGTCAGAGGAGAGTTCTGGAGCTCATTAATCCAACTGCCTTTGATTTCTACATAAGCTATTTTAATGAAGATCTATATTTAAACACACCGAAAAGCATTAAATTAAAAACAATGTGATCAAAAGTGGGAAGACTAGCTTTGGGATAACTGAGAAAATGAAAAATTTTATATTTTGTAATCTGATTCGAAATACAGATTTTCTAAAAAATAATTATTGCTTTATAAAAGGCAAGAAAAATGAAGGATTCTTACAAAAATTCCATATAATCTTGAAGAAAAAAAAAGAGGTTTAAAAGCAGCACATATGCTGAGTATACATAAGCCAAGGAATTGAATATTAGGTTACTAAGAAAAAATTTGGACATTTCAGAGATTATTTTTTGTCTTAGTATAAAAAACGGGTTTATATTCCTAATCATGTTAGCTATATTAGAATTCATGACACCCCATCAATAGTTTAACCCGACTGACCGTATGTTAAATTCAATACATACTTTTTTTTCTTCTCAAACTCTAGAGATAGAACAGTAGAGATTGTAGTAAAATTCTTACATCTTTGAAACACTGTAACTTTAAAAATTAATAATATATCATAGTTTCTTTTATTGGTTGGCTTATAATTCAGATGTAAGAAAATATATCTGATGAGGCCTAATATCCAAAATATATAAAGAAATCATAAAATTCAATAGCAAAAAAGCCAGTCAGTTTTAAAAATGGGCAGAGGACCTGAAAAACATTTTTCGAAAGAAGACATACAGATCTCCAACAGGTACATAAAAAGATGCTCAATATGACTAATCATCAGGGAAATGCAAATCAAAACCACAATGAATGGTCACCTCACACCTATTACAATGGCTATTATCAAAAAGATAAGATGTAACTAGTGTTAGAGAGGATGTGTTGAGAAAAGGGACCCTTGTGCACTGTTAGTAGGAATGTAAATTGGTGTAGGCACTATGGAAAACAGTATGGAGGTTCCTCAGAAAATAAAAAATAGGATTTCTATGTGATCCAGCAACTCCACTTCTAGGAATATATTCAAAGGAAATGAAATGAAATAAAAACACTAACTTGAAAAGATACATGCCATCCCCAGGTTCTTAGCAGCATTATTTATAATAGCCAAGTGTCCACTGATGGAAGAATGGATACAAAAATGTGTTGGGGCACCTGGGTGGCTCAGTGGCTTAAAGCCTCTGCCTTTGGCTCAGGTCATGATCTCAGGGCCCTGGGATCGAGCCCCGCATGGGGCTGTCTGCTCAGCGGGGAGCCTACTTCCTCCGCTCCACCACCTGCCTCTCTGCCAACTTGTGATCTCTGTCAAATGAATAAATAAATGAATGAATCTTTTTTTAAAAAATGTGTACTATATGTAATGGAATATAACTCAGCCATAAAAAAGAATGAAATCTTACCATATACGACAATATGAATGAAACTTAAAGGAATTATGCTAAGGGAGATCAGTCAGACACAGTAAGACAAATATCATATGAGCTCTCTTATATGTAGAATCAAATCAGTCAATCAATCAAAACAAAACAAAAACCAAGCTCATAGTTACAGAGAACAGGTTGGGAGTTGCCAGAGGTAGCTGGTGGCAGTGGTTGAAATGAGTGAAGGGCATCAGAAGGTTCATATTTCCAGTTATAAAATAAGTCTTAGGGATATATTATACAACACGATGACTATAGTTAATGATACTCTATTTGAAAGTTAGTAAGAGAACACACCTTAAAAGTTCTCATCACTGGGATTGTTAGCAGGCATGCCAGAAAATTAAAAGGAGGACAACCTTTGTTTTAGGTACTTCTTGCTAAGTCATAGAAAAACATGTGATGCGGGACTTTAAGAGCTGGGGTGAGACCAATGTAAGAAAATCAGACAAGTCTAGATATTGCATTTAACAATATACTAAGCACTCTTGTATTTTCTCAAAACAGTTTACAGTGTTATTGTTTTTACCTGTTTCCATTAGGCATAAAGCAATTGTGTATGTGGCAATAGCAGTAATAACTCATATTTTAAGGCAGAGAAAAGAATTTACAAGCCCACATTCTTTTTCCTCTAAAAACATATGACCTTCTAACAATCCCAGAAATAACTACCAGACACCTGAGAAGAGGGGAAAGAGTGAAGAAAAATTGGGTTGAAACACCCTATGAAATGCATCATTAGACTTTGTTCAATTAAGAACTGCTTTTTACTGGAAAGAACAGGGGACAGTGCAGAGGCCCCACACCCAGCAGGTGGCTTGGCCGGACTCTGTTTCGGCAGACAGTGCTCTGGTTTCTGCACTAGGAGTTCTGTCACGGCGTTCCCTGTAATACTTCATGTCCACGGCCGGGCCTGCTTCCACAGGGCATGGATCAGCCATCTGACGGAATATTATAAAGCCATGTCAGTGACACGGGCGAAGAAATTCCGAAACACGGGGAATGCCTCACATTACAATTAAGCGCATAAAGGACACACATGAATGGCGTGCATGAAGACCTGTCATCATGGTAGCTGTCCCTGTGACACTTTTACTTCACCTGGGGCACCCCCATTCCCTCTGTGCGAGCAGATAGGACAGGAAAGGAGTCACGGTTGGCACCATGCCATTGACCTTCCTCCTCATCTAAAAGCCAGGATTGGAGACATGGTAAAATATTAACATAGAACATTAGCTATATAAGAAAAAGAAGACTTTTTCTTCTTTGTTCCTCTGTATTTTGCAAATGTTCTAACACTTAAAAAAAAAAAAACAACAACACTTTTTTCTCTCTTAGTTTCCCTGGAAACTTCCAAAAGGCAGCAGCTGTGGTCTCACATCATACCCTCTCCCCCTTCCCCCAAGTGTGTAAATAAAGCAACACCTCTATGTCTTTAATTTAAAAAAAAAAAAAAAAAGTTCTCATCACAAGAAAAAAAATTTATAACTATGATGGTGACAGATGTTAACTAGACTTACTGTGGTGATCATTTTGTGATAGCATACAGATATTGAATCATTACATTGTACACCTGAAACTAATGTAATGTTATATGTCAATCACCTCAATAAAAAAGAAGGGAAATAAATATAATTATCTATGAATCTGTGATATAATCTAATTGATTAAATTTAGAGATAATATTTATGTTAAAAATATAATCACTTTGGATATATAGCTTTAGGTTCTATTTCTATTTTTTTTAAGTGTACATACAACTCTAGATTTTAAACATTTTACCTCAACATGCTGGAAATATTCTACTGTCTTCTGGCTTCTATTGGTGCTTTTGAAAAGTAAACACTGGCTAATTCTTAGCAGTGGATAGGTAGGTATACTGGAAACTTTGAGCCTGGTTGTTGAAGAATGGGATGTTTGAAATCAACGTTTATGATATAGCATCAATTCTGATATTGATAATGTCTAGACAATACTCCTAAGAATGGATGATTGCAGAGGAATAGATGAAGAGATCCTCATTTTAATGTTCCAAAAGCGATTGTATATTTACCCAAGTAGTGAATGAGATATGGTCTTATAGGACATTAAATTTTTGAAAGGAATTTTACCCTATACGTTGAGGAGACCTGGCCCATATAACCCATGCTTCATTTTAATATCAAATTTTGTTTTAAATCAGCTTTACTGGTAAACTGGAGTCAAATAATTATAGATGCTTTACTGGCAATTGACTGATATTTTCTTACCCACTAAGCTTTGGTGCATGAGTATAACAAAGGCAGTCATTGCTCAACAGCAGTGGAAATAAATTTCTGACCTAAAATAAATGGCTAGAGAATGTGGCGGAAGGCCTCATGAAAATGTATCAAATATTATTTTAATATCTGGCCCTCCACTTTTTCCCTAAATCTTAAAATCATTGATGGCATGATTCTTCCCTAAACACTTCCCATCCACAAATACAGTTTGTTCACAACTTCATTGTCTTGCTTCTGGTAATACGTGGTATTAGGAAAGTATATTATTGACTCATTGGCACTAAAGTATGCATAATATTTGAACTGTAAGAGCTCCTAAGCCAATGAATAAACCTTTCTAGCACTTAAGAAACAAAACAATTTTAGTAGTGGGGCCATTTGAAACCTCTGAAATAACATGTCAGTTCTCACCTACTGTCTAAGTGAGCAGAGTTGACTTACAATTTTCAGAAGACATTAAGAAATATTACTTTTCTATGTATTATATGTTAATATATATATTTCATGTATATTTATAAATACATATGCTTTAACAAAATCTTTAGAAGAGAAAGAAATTAATAGGTGGCAAACTAGCAAGCCACAATAGCCACAAGTTTGAATTGGAACTTGATGTATCACTTTTTAATTTAATAAAGAATACTTGTCCCAGAAGCTACTGAAAAAAGTACAAAAACAAAATTCTTAGAAATTCAAATACACTATTCCATTATGATAAAAACAAATTCTTGATTAAATCAACGATTACAATGATACGGTAATTAAGGATTTTGTTAATTGATCTTTCTCTAATGGGCATATATTTATAAATTAACTATTAACCTGTGTGTTTTTCTTCCCTCTTAGTGCTAAAGAACCCGGTGTGTAAATTATATAGATTTCCCACATCTGACAATAAGTGGATGAGAATCCGGGAGCAGATGTCAGAGAGCATACTTTCTTTTCATATTCCTAAGGAATTGATTTCTCTTCACATCAAAGAAGATTTGTGTAGGTAAGAGAAAATAATTTATGATTGTCTCTCACATTTTTTTCTAGAAAACATTTTTTCTTAAAGTATGATCGTAATGTAAAAATCTAGACTTGCAACTGTCCAGTGTTGATGGCCACTAACCATGTCTGTCTGTTAATCATTTGAAATGCTACTAGTCCAATTTGAGATGTTCTTTAAGGATAAAATACAGATTTTGAATTCTTATCCCACAAACAGTAGAAGACTGACTTTATGATGATATATTAAAATTTAGAGTATATTAGGGTTAAATATGTTATTAATCTCACCTGCTTTTTTTAACTTTAAAAATATGACTACTAGAAAGTTTAAAATTATATATATGACTCTCATTATGGCTTGCGTTATATTTCTATTGTATAATTGGTATCTAGCTAATCAAGTGAGTTTTGACCTTGCTAATAATCCTTTTATCTTTATCTCATCTGCTTACGGTTACTCTTTCTGCAAGAAATTCCTACTTGACTCTTCTTTGGACTACTCATCTGTAGCAAGACTTTTAGATGTTTTTGGTCCAAAACCTCCTTTATTTATTGTTTTTAAAAGAGAGAGAGAGAGAATGGGGGACAGGCAGGGGGAGAGAGAATCTTAAGCAGGCTCCATGCCCAACATGGAGCCAAATCAGGGTAGAGTCTCATGATACTGAGCTGAAATCAAGAATCAGCTGCTTAACTGACTATGCTATCCAGGCACCCCCTTAGATGACTGATAATGTATGCTATATGAATGGACAGTGTTGTCATACAGCAAACTTAAATATGTTGCCATAATAAAACAGAAAGCTCTGGGAACTGATTGTCAATAAGAATATCTCTGAGCCATGACAACTCAAATAATTCATTTTTTCTGCCTTATAAACCTCTAGTGACTTTAAAATGCTGAATACTACATTATGTTAAATACTGTTAAGGCCATAAATTTCAGGAAATTGGCAAATATTTTTGTAACGTTTGTAATTGCTGAAACACATAGCAAAGTGTGAAATGTTTAAAATTTGGATCTCTGGCCTATGTCCACTTTAATATACCAGTTACCTAATAGTAGTGCACCCTTTGGGTAGACTCTATAGTCCCCAAGCTGTATTGATCTAAACTAGTGAGCAAACAATGGACAAGGCAGGTCAAATTTGCCAGTATTGACAGTATATTTTAGGGTAGGAATGACTGCACAAATACTATATTTCTGATTGAGGAGTAAGAGAAAGAAAAATAAAAGAAAAAGCAGAGCCTAGATTTTAGAGAAAATTAGGCGGGAAACTGGGTTGCAAGAAACAACCTGGATTTAGGAAAATAAAGATTAAAAGGGAGACAGAAGATAGATATTTGAGAGTAGCAGATTGAGAATAATCAGGCCACAAAAATCAGATGAAAGTTATTGACTCAGGACAAGAGAAGCCGTAGCATGTTCAGGAACCTGAACAGACTACCTGTAAGAGCTGGCTATAAGGATGAATTAATATAAGCCAAATTATTCAGTATTATCCTTTCCCAGAGCTAGTACTAAGCATATGTAATGGGCAAAACAAATTCCCAGGAAGGATAAGCAAACTTAGGGAGTTTGTATCTTTGAAGTCATAAAGAAGTGTCAACTTCAGCATTGTTATATTCGAGATTATGGGACACTAAGAACCATTCCTACTAGTGTCATATAAAGATTACATTTCACATGGAAGGTTTGGGAAAGATAACTCTTCCTCACTGGTGTTGTTCAATAAGGAAAGACTCCTTAGAAAAGCATGAGGTCATAGGCAGTGCCTTTATTTCAGCTGAGAACCATAGAAGAGAAGTTGATAGATGTGGATTTAAGCAGTTAGAGATAGACCTTGCCCTAAAAATGACTCCTGATAACTCAATCTAAGTTAGCCAGTCCTAAATTCTCACTAAAATATCTATATCATGCCAGACTCTCCTGGCCAGCAAAGTTCCTGTTCAAAAATCCAATTATAGCCTTATGGGTTTCCCTTGTATGTAACTGTTTTCTTTTCTCTTGATGGTTTTAGAATTCTCTATTTATAACTACTTTTGCCATTTTAATTACTGTGTGTCTTGGTGTAGACCTTCTTGGATTGATCTTGCTGGGGAATTTCTGTGCCTCCTGGAACTAAATTTTAGTTTCCTTCCCCAAATTTGGGAAATTTTTGGCTATTATTTCTTTAAATAATTTTTCTGTCCCTTTTTTTCTCTCTTCTTCTGGGATCCCCATTATTCTACTAATCTTGTTACTGGATATTTACCCAAAGAATACAAAAACAATAAGTCAGAGGAATACATGCACCCCTTTGTTTACTGACACATTATTTATAATAACCAAATTATGGAAGCAACCAGGTATCCATCAATAGGTGGATAAAGCATATGTGGTTAAAGCATATGTGGTATATATATACAATAGAGTTAGCCATAAAAAAGAATGAAATCTTGCCATTTACTACAAACGGATGGATCTAGGGAATATAATCCTAAGTGAAATAAGCCAGTTAGAGGAAGACAAGTACCATATGATTTCACTCATATGCTGAGTTTAAGAAACAAAACAAATGAACAAAGAAAAATAAAAGAGAGAAACCAAAAACAAACCCTTTACTATAGAAAACAAGCAGATGGTTTCAAGAGGGAATGTAGGTATGGAGATAGGTAAAATAGGTAAAGGGAATTAGTAGTACAATTATTGTGATGAGCATGGAGTAAAGTATGGAATTGTTTAATCATTGTATTGTGCACCTGAAATGAATATAAAACCATATGTTAACTATTCTGGAATTAAAATTTTGAAAATAAACCATAAAGACACAAAAAAATAGAAAATGGTGGGCCATTCACAAGATATGGAAATCTATTAACATATTTCTACATTATTAAAATGAAAAATAATAAATCTTTCTTAAAAAAGATTTTATTTATTTGAGAGAGAGAGATAGTGAGAGAGAGCACGAACAGGGAGGGGGCAGAGGAGAGGGAGAAGCAGACACCCTGCTGAGCAGGGAGCCCCATTTGGGATCATGATCTGAGCTAAAGGCAGACGCTTAACCAACTGAGCCACCCAGGCACCCAGAGTTGAAAATCTTAGTTGACAGACCACTAATGCTATTTCATCTAATAATACAGCAAGCTAGTGAGAGAGATGATGAAGAGAAAGACTCCTAATGTTGCCCTAGTCTGTCTGTTTTGTTTGTTTTGTTTTGTTTTAAGTTTTATTTACTTATTTATTTGAGAGAGAGTGGGAGTAGGAGCAGAGGGAGAGAGGGAGAGATATTAGTAGGAATGGAGAGGAAATAGGGGTTAAAGATAGCACTGTGGAGGACTGTAAAGTACTAGATATGCAGAAGGTCAGCTGCTCAGGCTTTAAGGAAGTTTCTAAACTGATGATGATGGCACCTGGGTGGCTCAGTCAGTTAAGTGTTTGACTCTTGATTTCAGGTCCAGTCATGATCTTGTGGTTGTGAGATCAAGCCCCATATTGGGTTTCAGGATCAGGAGGGAGTCTGCTTGGGATTCTCTCTATCTAGCCATTCACTGACAGTAAATCCCAGGGGGAAATACTGAGTAGGGAATAAGGAGAAAGCAGCTATTCCATATACCAACTGCCTTCTCCACCAGCTTTTCTGTTTAAGTCTCTTATGTAACTTCTGAGAACTGTACTAGAATTATGTGTTGGGAAGGGAAGAGGGAAGGTTCTACTTACAAAATACTTAGTATAACACCTTGCTTTTGAGAAGTTACTGAATTCCTTCATAATCATGATGCTGTGGGAATAGTTCAGAGGAGAAAAAGCCCATTTCAGTCCTTAAAACTAAAGTATATAAAAATCCGATAGGTCTCAGGGCACCTGGGTAGCTCAGTCGGTTAAGCGTCTGCTTTAGGCTCAGGTCATGATCCCAGGGTCCTAGGACAGAATCCCACATTGGTCTCCTGCTCAGCGGGGAGCTTACTTCTCCCTCTCCCTCTGCCTGCTGTTCTGCCTACTTGTTCTCTCTCTCTATCTCTCTGTCAAATAAATAAGTAAAATCTTAAAAAAAAAAAAAATCTGGTAGGTCTGAAAATTGGCTAGGCACTGTGAAGAGCAGCATATTCCATATTTCCTCTACTCTCTCCATCACCTTTTCTAGGTAAATCTTTTATAATTAGTTTTTAAAAATCAAATATTTCTCTTTCACATTTTGTAAAGAAGAGGAGAGGGAAAAAAAATCATGCTGAAGACTCAAAAGGGAAATAGAAAAGATAGGGGGAAATAAAGGAAAAACTGACTAGCCATCTCAGTAGAGTGTAAGAAGGTATGGTTATTATGAAACAAAACCAGAACTCCATGGAAAATAATTATCATGCTTTAGGGAAAATGCTGTAAAATGGAGGGGATAAATGGAGGGAATAATGAAATTTTAAAATGAAGCAACCAAATTAAGTCCACAGAGCCAGGAGAAAAGAACAGAGCTGACACTGAGAAATTGTATCCATAATGTGGAAGGCAAACATGGTAAGCTCATCTCAAATGCTAAATGAGGGTGAAAAATGTTCAGAATGATGAAAAAGAAGATGTTAGATATACAAGGCACAGAGCTGAGCACTACTTAATAATTTCAAGTGTTCTTGGGGAAGAAAAACTCATGCAAAAGCTTGAAAGAAAACAGTAAAAACTTAGGCAGCTTTGGTGTTTTTTTTTTTTTTTCTTTGACATGGTAAAATCAGGGTAACCTTACATTTCACTGCAGAAGCCCATAGAATAACATCTACTGATTTTTGAGAGGAAAAGCCAGTGGCCTACTTTATTGTATAGGGCCAGGTTATGAATATTTTATGAGTGAAGGTGATGGAAATGACATTAATATTTAGGAGTTCAAAAAATGCCACTCACAAAACGTCCTTAAAAAATTTACTTGAAGATCTATTCCATCCAATGAGAAAATCATTTCATTAAAAATTATAATATACTATAAATTGATGTATAAAAATTAAATTATATTATAAAATTTATATGACATATCATAA